CTTGCCGAATGGCGGAGCACCGACAAAATTTTTTTGGCTTTTCAAAACGTTTCATACGTTTTTTAAGGTTCCAAAACGTTTTTGACCTTTTTTGATTTTTGTGCGAGGTTGGCTACTAAGATACTAAACGCGTGAAAAGAGAAGCGAAAGGAAAACTAATCGTTCAAACGCGCTGGCCAGTGAACTCGCTTACCTGACCTAGTCGACTTCTGCGGTTCGGGTGACGATGCTATCTACTTAGGCGGTATGTCGGATCGCGTGGCTGGGGAAGTGAATAATGATTTGCCGCCCGGCTCGAGGGAAATCCATGGAGTCGAGGTAGAAGACTCAAATGGATTGTTCTCCTTGGAGTCAATAGCATTAGGAGAAGACGTAGCTTCCGTCATAGGTTACGTTGAATCGTCTGAAGATGAGCAGACATCGTCGTCGAGCTCAGCTTCCATGCGAGCAACCTTGAGGCGGTCATTCATAACGGATTTACGCTTGCCGTACCGGTCGATGATAAATACACGACCCTTGCGTTGTAGAACCTAGAAAGGACCTTCATAAGGTCGCTCAAGTGGTCTACGGAGACCGTCAACACGGAGGAAAACGAACGGGCAGTGCTGAAGATCATGAGGTACGAATGACTTGTTGGTCTCTGGTGTCAGTAAACTTGATCTGACGCATGCTCGTGGTTAGCTGCCAAGCGTAGTTCCTGTCATAACGGGGCATTCTGGGACTCAGAAAAGCAATCACCAGGTAAACGTAGAGGTTGTCCGTATACCAGTTCAGCGCTGAACGTATGTACATCGGTCTTGAGGGATGATAGGATGCCAAGAAGTAGCATGGGCAGAGCTTCAGTCCAACTCAGTGCATTGGCGGCGCTGAGTGAAGCTTTCAACTGTCGGTGGAAGCGTCCCAAATTGCCGTTCGCCTTTGGATGATAGGTGGTAGTACGAATGTGTCGACATCCGGTGACCTTAAGAAGATCGTTGAAAGTCGGTCGGTAGTCACTGGCTGGACAGCCATGTGAAGCGACCCAGCGCTCGAAAAAAGCGCATGTAACGGTTTCCGCAACTACATCAGGAATGGGGACGGCTTCGGGCCAACGGGCGCAACGATCGATCATGGTCAAAATGTAGACTATTCCTTTGGACGGGGCCAACGGTCCAACAAAGTTGAGATGGACATGGGCGAATCGCGTTGAAACGGGCAGGAAGCGGCCAAGTGGAGCGGATACGTGCCCGCTGGATCTTGACTTGGTGGCACGTGAGACAAGTGCGTGCCCAACGCGTAAGATCACGTTGCATCCCAGGCCAAATATATCGCTTGGATATGAGTTTGACCGTGGCTTTAATGCCTGGAAAGACAGTGTTGTGCACCTTATCGAAAAGAAAACGGCGAATGATTTCAGAAACGGCGGGTCGAGGTCGTCCTGTAGAAATGCCACGTAAGATTGTGCCATCGGATGATGACAGGGGGTGTGGGGATATCTTCAAGGAACAATCGGAAAGCTCTGTAGAGCTCGGATAAGTTGATTGCGTAGCTGCCATGACAGATAGATGAATTACCTGGTGGGTAGAGCTAATTGCAGTCACTCTTGACATAGCATCAGCAACAACATTGCGTTAATCAGAAATGTGTCGAAAGTTGGGCGATGAAATCCAGCTGACGGACCTCCCGCGGTGAGTGTCGAGCTGATTGATTTCGAAAGACGAAAGTTAATGGCTTATGGTCGGTAAATTTAACAAAGTGATTGTCTTCGAAGACGTGTCGGAAGTGCCGGATCGTCGACTAAGCAGCCAGAAGTTCTCGACTGAATGTGCTGTATTTAAGTTCTGCTGGTTGCAAGCGTCTTGAATAGGAAGCAAGTGGCTACCAACATCCATTAGTCATCTGCTATAAGATCGCAACATTAGCGGTGCTCGATGCATCGACGGCAATGCTAAGCGGCGCTTTGGCGTCAATACAAATAATATCTACCTGCAGGTAGGGTGCCTATGCCTGAACACAGTATTCCAGCTGTGGTCTGACCACAACTTTGAACAAGGGAAGAAAGACCTCTGGCTTGGTACTACTCAGAACTCTTCTGTGACGAAATAATTCCTGTCGTGCTTTATTAGCTGCATGCCTGCACTTCGCCGAGGGTTTAAAGTCACTCGTCACGATGACACCTAGATCACGTGCCTCGGTGATTTGCTGCAGCGTTAGGGGCCCATTAGATGTGTGCACTTTAAACTCTTCATCGCGCGAGGTTGGGATTTGACATTTGCTGGTGTTCAGTGGTAAGTTCCACAAATGTGACCAATTAAGAACGGCAGAAAAATCGCTAGTTAACAAAGCCCTCTCTCCTGCTGACAAGCTTCAAGTCGTCAGTAAATATATAGGAGGGCTCTTCAAATAGAGGGACCAAGTCATTTGTAAACATGAGAAATAGCAACGGACCGAGTACCGATCCCTGGGGAACTCCGCTATGAGCAGTGCCTGCCGTCAAAATAACGTCACCAACCCTGACACGGAATGTCCTACCATAAAGGAATGCTGACAGCCATGAAAGCAGTTGAGGTGGGATTCCAAACCAGGACATTTTTTCTAACAAGAAACGGTGGTTCACCGAATCCAATACTTTACTGATGTCAACGTGCTATACCTTCACTCGTATGCCATCATCGAGACATCTAGTTATTTCAAGGAAACAGCAAGCTGGTAAGACATGCTTTTTTCTTGACGAAGCCATGCTGTTCTGCTCCGATCAAGTTATTAGCAGCAAGATGTTCACAGATTCGATTCCTAATGATCTTCTCTAGACACTTGAGAAGAACGCTAGTCAGACTAACAGGCCGGTAGTTATTGGGTGAAGATGTAGTGCCACCATTATGAATCGCCACTACAACCGCTTCCTTCCAGTCCTTCCGCCCCTCACGAAGAGACATGTACAACTCAAGAATAGAAAGCTGGAGTATGTCTACAATCGGCTTAACAATAGTGGGATGCATATTATCGGGGTTAGGTTATTTGTATGGGTTTAAGTCCTTCAATACAGAGAAGACATCCGAAGCAGTTATGACGATTTCGTCCATTGTGCACTCACTTACGCGATGCGAAGACAACGGTATTGAAAAATCATTCTTCACTCGATGAACTCTCTGGAAAACACACAGCAACTCTTGCGCCTTATAATATCTCCTGTAGCCTGTTGCCCATCTGTGATTAAGTTACCAACTACTTCTCTTAACGAGGCTTTAGACTGGAAGTAGCTGTAATAACGCTTTGTCTTCTTTTTGCGTTTTGCGGCAGCTAAGCTCACAGAAGTATTTGGCCTGCCTCTGCAGTTTGACCGCCAAATTTCGACTTCTTTTATATTAAAGTCACCTGCGGAAACCACCAGACTCAGGATACCTTTCCCAATGAATATTCCGCCTTTTCAACATCCGATCAATACCTCGGCGCCACCAGCGAGGCTTGTCTGATTGGTGCCTGCACCGGGGAGCGAAATCCTCTAGTAACTGCGCGAGGCCACTTTTGATCACTTGCCACCTCTGTTCCAGCTTTGCTTCCTCTTGTTCAAGAACCCAGGTAATGCGTGCGGCTCTATCCCTTAGAAATGTTCAATAAAAAATGAACAATGATTTATCACGGGATAAAAGCAAGTGTTTGACACGTCCCGTAGGATGGTTGGGTGAATATGATGAAATCAAAATATATCTAAGTCATCCACCGAACATCTGCTTAGATGAATACTTCGATAAATTACATCAGTGTAAAAGTTAAAAAATCGAGCGTAAACGTTCAGAAAGACACTGGGGTGCAGTGATCCTTGATGTAAGGCGTGAGGAAAGTAAAATATGGTCGCTCACTTGGGTCCATTTGATATATAAATCCTGTTGAAAAGCATGCTTGGCGTAATCCACAATAGAGGAGTTTAAGTAACAAAATTCTGGGAGCTAAGAGCAACATCTAATCGTTTTTTTAAAACGTCCAGGTAGGAGAGGATACAACTGAGTCTGGGAGTTCGTTCCAGGGTTGGCAAACCCGAATGGAAAAGTAATTCCGTCGACACTCTAGACGGTTATATTGTTCCTTCAGTTTTAAGCAGCTACCCCTGAGTTGCGTGTTGTGGCTAAGTTTCGGCAAATGACGGCATACGTGGTTGGGATCACGCAGTATCTGATACGCTAATATGAGATCGCCGCGCAGCCTTCGATAACGTCCGCTAAAAATTTCCAGCAACTTCATCCTTCTGTGGTAAGAGTGATAGCGCAGACCATTTACATTATTTGTTGCTCTTCGTTGTGGTGCCTCGAACGCTTCCAGGTCGCGCTTCATCCAAGGTTGCCAAGCTTGGATAGCGTATTCAACATGCGGGCGCACGTAGGAATTGTGCATCATTGGGAAGATTGATGGGTCAAATCTCCCGAATGCCCTTTGCAGCATGCCGACATGCTGGTTGCCTCTTTTCGCAGCTAACACAGCCTGTTTTGAACGGTTGAGGTCGGTCTGTACGAGCACACCAAGGTCACGCTCCTGGGAGCTGGTCTGCAATCCGTTTCTCCCAAGTAAATAAGTGTAGTTATGTCTGAGCAACGTGATGAGTCCCAACCAGAACGAAACCGCGGTCGTAGTGTGCCAGTGTTGGGATGAGCAACACCCAGATACTTCCATTTCGGAAATGGTCTTCGTGATCGGAATGACTGAGTTTTACTTCAAAGTAAACCGAGATTTCAGTAGAGGTTGTTTGTCGCAAGCCGACCACATAACCGGTTCCCCAAATTCAATTCTGAATATTCTCATCTGTTCTTGAATTTAGATGCGTAGTTAAAATTCCCTCCGTCTTCTGATTGATGGTCGCCAATATCCTCTTATGACGTTTGCGACTCTAGGTCTGAGGTATTCTGTCGTCCATCGTACAACTTATTGGCAGCTGTAGTTCTACCGTACTTGATGTGAGCGAACTTCGTCATTCAATGCTTTTTAACTGGGAACCTCTCTTTCTCCATCCGTTCCTTTTGTATTTTCAGTTTTTATCGACTGAAGCATGCGCGTCAATGTTGGCCTTTACAACGTTATTCTCACAGGAGTGGCATTTCTGTTTCTTTTCGCCGCCTTTCAGACCGTCTCCCAATCCTCGGTAAGAACTACCCTAGATGCTTTTATCGTGTTTTCTCATTACCTGTTCTAAACGTACTAGTTGTTTCGAATCGTAATCGGAACGTACGAAACACTCTTCACCGATAGTACCCCACGCGCAGAGTAACGAAATGAATTCGGATCAACACAGACTAAGTGACCCAGCCGCCAAACATGTACACGCGTGCTGAGGCTGGATGCGAAACACGTGACCTCACATGACTGCATCAACACTCACCAAAGAATGGCTGCCTGTCCACTGATAGTTGAAAGCACACACATCTTCTATACCTTTTTTATAACTCAAAACGTGGCATAAAACACAAACTAATATATATATATTATATATATATATATATATATATATATGACAACAAAGAAAGTCGAAAGCTGGCCATAAGTCCTAACTCTACCCCAGGTCAGACTATACAGAGCACGCACTACAGAAATGAACTTCTCGGGAATGCCATTCCTCATTCTTCGGGAATGTCACAATGCAGCCCTGTGAACAACGTCGAAGGCATCACGCATATCTAGGAATACAACAATCATTGGCTTTTGATACACATGGCGGAGCTCGAATCTGGCGGATTGTGATAATCTGCTCGATGCAGCCGCGGTCAGGGCGGAACCCAACCTGTTCTTCTCCCTGTAATGATTCACACTTTGGGGATAGCCTGCGAAGAATGATGGACCCCAGAATGTTGCTAACGAAGGAAACCGGACTTATGCCCCTGTAATTGGAGCACTTTGTGCGCAGGTCTTTTTTGAAGATGGGGACAACTATCGACTCACTCCAGCATGATGGAGCTTTCTCTTTTGCCAAAACTTCTGAGAACAAAGTGAATTCTCGTACCGTCGAAGTCCCCATCTTTAAATAGTGCAGGGGATAGACGATCAGGGCCGGTTGCCTTATAACGCTTTGGGCAGCAGAATTCCCACCAGATTTCATAGTGAGAGGGAGGATCAGTGGGGATAGTCCACTCATCACCAGTGCGCACCCCAGGGGAAACAGGTGGAGCTGGCTGCCAGGAAAATTGTGAGCGAAAATGCTCGGCCCATCACTCCAACCGTCGTTGAAAATTAGTGATTAGCGAGCCATCCTCTTTGCAGATTGTTTCGCTTACTCCAGGTCGGAATCCTTCGATGACTTAAATGAAGTGGAACAGTTTTCTGGTATTACTAGAAAGATCAGCAAGTTCCATCTCCAGTACATTCACACCACCAGGTTTCACGTTTCTTCTGTACGCTCCTATGCTATGCTCGATCCAGGGATTGGCGTTTCTCACCACCTCTGGTGTCGACTAGGATCAAGCGGCGTCTGTCCATCAGCCACAAGAAGGCAGTGGTGATCCAGCTTTTCGGCGGGTGGCAAGCAACTCAAAAACTGACAGTATTAGTAGAAATGAGGCGTCTTTGATGCGCATCCATTGCGAATTCAGACCATCGTCGGAGGTTGACACAAGCAGTGTTGACAGAGAAGCCTGGTACTTGGCTAACGTCGCAGGATGTTGCAGATTTTCAACGTACAGTCAGTAGTACGTACGTCTAGGTGATCCTCCGGAACGCATGCAAATTTTGGCGTGAACCAGCGCGTGGTCTGAGTCCAGACAGGTTGACCACTACGATCGGTAGTCTATTACGCTTCCGCGGCATCTGAAGCTTATTGCTATGTGGTCAAACTGGGACCACTCTTGCGTTGGAGAAGGCGGACGCTATGTGGTAGTCTGTTTTTTGTACACCGAAAACTGGTGCTCGAAAGAAACAAGCGATGATCAGAACCATGAGCTAGTAGTCTGTCTCCATTGTCTGATCGGCTGCTACCGAGGCCAAAACTACCCCCAAAATGGTGCTCCCTTGGGGGCAGGCGGCCCACTGTTGCGTTGAAATCTCCGGCAAGAATGACAGTGTGAGACTTCTTTGATCAACGCAGAAGCTCATGTGGCTGTCGGTAAAATTGATCCTTGACTGCGTCCGGGCTGCATTCTGTAGGAGCGTAGGCGGAGATGACAAACAAGGCAGTCGTAACATTTGGGCGCTTACTTAACTTATATGAACCTCGTAGTTTGCCTGCACATAGCCGACTATTGACTACGATCCAGTCAAGCAAAGCGGCCTCATCCCTATCACTCAGTGCAACCCAAACACTATCTTGGCCAGAAACGACGGCTTCTGGATCTCCGGAAAGGCGCAACCGCTATTTGACGTCAGGTTTTACCGGAGAGATAGTTGTGCTGACGGTACTGGTGTCTTGCAACCTGGTTTCGGAATGGCAACAGATGTCCACCGAGAGTATCCCAAGGGTGCAGGCCCGACATGCTTATCGTCCAATATGCATCAGAGTGTGCACATGAAACGCTTCGAGGCCGAATGGAGAACCAGGTCGAAGGAGAGCTTGGGCTTCGGTGGAGTGTGAGGATCTTGTGGCCACCGGGCAACGAACACCAAAGGTTTGACTCAGGACTTTCAGATGCGACCAATGAACTGTTGTTGACGGTGACCGGGAAGACATTGGTGTAGTTAAGGAAAGGGACGTGGGATGATCTGTGTGCGGATGTTGAGCAGCGGAGACAGCAAAAGTGAAAACAGTAGTGTAATCCCTAGTGAAATCAGTGTCTGGTCTGCGGAGGACATGACCGAACCACTGAAGGCTGCAGCGTTGGATGAGCGCTAAGAGCTTCGGAAGACCGTAACATCACTTGCTTACTTCGTCATTGGTGATGCACTCATGCCACTGCGTTTTCAAGATAAGCCTTAGACACCATTGGTCGAATGCTTCTAGCTTCCGGGTGTCTTCGGATTACAGCGGCCATGTTTCGCAACTATAGAGTAAAATGGCACGAATGGTTGCTGTGAATACTCGGGTTTTCATTTTCAGAGTAATTTCCGTCCTTCACCACAACATGTTTCTCATTTGTAAGAAGGCTATTCTGGCGCTGTCAATACGATTCCGGATTTCGGATATAGCGTGACCAGTGGGGAGAATAGTGGATCCAATGTACTTGAATTCAGGAACAGATTCAATGAGTTGTGCATGTAAGGGGAGCGATTGGATGGACTGGGTGTTTGACCGTGAGAGGTGCCTCCTCTTGCGGTTGCTAATTTCGAGGCCAGCCAGAGAGGCTGATTGATTCACCCGCTTCAGCAGTGACTGTAGTGACATAGGATCTTCTGCAAGGGTAGCGATATCGTCAGCGAATTCCAGGTCTGACAGCTAGAAATCAAGGCTAACTCGAACGCCCTCAAGTGCGTAATGCATAACCCAGCAGACCGCGAAATTGAGTAGTACTGAAGAAAGTGGGAAACCCTGCCGGACTCCAGTATTGATGTCGAATTCTTCTGTTTCTTCTCCACGGACCCGAATCCGGGTTTTCGTGCAACGGTGGTATGTTCTCATCACGTTAACAAGTTTATCCAGCACGCCATCGGCAAGTAGGATTCCCCAGGGTGCTTTAGCATCATCTGAGTGAAAGACAGCTCGAAAACCAACGAAGCAAACAAATATGGGCCGCTGGAACTGGTAGCGCTGCTCGAGTACCCGACGTAACGTGACGATTTGTTCAGTGCGGCCTCTGCATTGACGAAAGCCACCTTGGTTATAGCGAGTTCACTGGTTCCTCTCATCGGCAAAGCGGGAAAGCAAGATTCGTGCGAAGGTTTTGGAAGCCACATCGATTCGGCTAATCCCACGATAATTACTGCACACAGTTCGGTCACCTTACTCGGGAAATGGCAGTAGTACTTAGGTACTCCACAGGGAAGGACATATTTCGGTCTCCCATATGGGGCAGAAGAACTCGTGCGAATTATCAAGTAAGGCTGGAGTACCGTCCACTTCGGGAGCTTTTATCGATTTCATACGACGAAGGATAATTGAAACTTCTGTGGGAAATGGTGATGAACAATCCGCGTCGTATCCTTACTGGGTGGACACTGAAACGGGTACGGTGGTCTGTAGTGGGCGGTTTAGGAGGTTGCTAAAGTACTCTATTCATCTGGAAAGTTTTCTTTCCGTATCGGGGATGATTTAGCCTTCCGAATTGCGCAATATCGGCTGTAGTGAATAGCGCTTGCCGGAAGCTAAACGGACGAGACGAACTAGATGACACAAATTGCCAAAATTTGATGTAGCTTCCAGGTTGTCTGCGATATCAGACCAGTAGCGGTTGCGATCATTCTGTGCTGAGTGGGTTGTCTCACATCTCAAGCGACGGTAGTCTGGAGAATTCGTAAGACGTGCTTCTGGCCCTTTAGCGCACAAGTGGATAGTATCTCCAGTGATCCAATCGTTCACAGGCTTAGAGGTAAAGCCAAGGGTAGATAAAGCGGTACGTTGAACTGACGATTTTATCCTAGACCAACGGGCGTCTACAGATTCTTCTTCTGCAAGTACGAAGCGTGGTGCACTGGCAGAAAATTCTGCTTCTATTGTTGCCTCAAGGGATCGGCAGCAGTCATTATTTTCCCGTGGGCATTGTTGATACGTTTTGGTGGATGGGTCTTCCGGCGCATTGTCAAGCAGATTCGGAATTCGGCGCGCAGGATTACGTGGTCCGAACTACCTTTATTGCCCGTTTCAGCCCCTCTGTACGCTCGACATTCATCGATGGAGGACATCTAACGGGACCGATTAAAATGTATTCTACTTGGCTAGCTGTATTATCCTCATTGGAGTCCCACGTCGGAAGATGCTTCCTGGGATGCTGGAAGCGAGTATTGGTTATGCACAAATGGGTTAAGGTTAGCGAAGCTGAGCAAGCGGTCTCCATTAGCACATCGCTCTCCAAGGGGTATCTCCTGAGTATATGACGGGTCTGCTTCATCCTCGGCCTGATTCATACATTCCAGTCCCCGGCAGTAATGAGGATGTCACGTTTTGGAGCATGCTTCACCACTGTCTCTAAAGTATCCTACACTTTGTCTTTGTCACTTTCCGCTGAGGGTAGGGTCGGTGCGTAGACAGAAATTACAAACAGTTTCATCGGGTGACCTGGGAGGAGT